AGGGAAAGACGGTTCCAGCAAGGGTCACGGCCCTGCAGTGAGACAGGCTTGGTGAGAAGCCAGATGGCAAGAGGGCATTGAGCAGGGTGAGGGTGGTTGTCAGAGGTAGAATGAAACTGATCATTTCAGTATCAGGAGAAGTAAAGATAATGCTGTCTTTATTAAACATTTACCCAGGGGCCAGCTGCTGTGCTAATAAGCACTTTACATGCATCCCCATCCTCGCAGCCCCGTGAGCTAAGCCAAAAAGCGTTAAGTTAGCTCAAGGTCCTACAACCCATTGTCCTAACCACTACACCGTGCTGCCTAGATAGGTAAACAGGGTGCTGTGCAAGTACAAACGGGGGTGCCTCTGAACTGTTTGGGGTGTTGAGAAGAGAAGATGTCTTGAAGTGTGAGTAGGAGTCAGGACAGAGTGGGGCATTCGGGTAAAGGGAACAGCCTGGGTTACAGGCACGCAGGTGAGAGAGAGATGGGGCTGTGACCTGATAACTAAAAGCAACAAATAACCAGAGGCAAGTGAGAGGCGAGCCTGGGAGGAGGTGAGGCTGGAGAGGCTGGAAGGACCAAGCCCTGGAGGAGCTGGGATGCTGTTCTCCCTGGAATACAAGCGGTGTCCTGTGACTGCCTCCGCCCATCCCAGCAGCTCATTCTTCCCCTCCTTGGGGGGTGACCCTCTGTTTCCCCTGCCCTGTAGCTGGGGTGGAGCTATGCCCAGGAGAGAACCTGAGGCGGCTGCATAGCCAGTTCCCACTAGAGGAAGCCAGGTGTGCCCGGAGGGCAAGCAGCACAGAAGACTCGGATGGCTGTGCTGACACTCCTCTTCTTCCCCGCCCCTGTTTGTTTCAGGCATCCTGAGTATGATTATCATTCGGACCCTCCGGAAGGACATCGCCAACTATAATAAGGAGGATGACATTGTACGAGGTCTTGGCTGGGGAGGGATGGACTTGCAGAGGGAGGGCAGTCTAGCAGTGGGGCTCTGGGCCTACCAGGCCAGGACGCGCACATGCGCGCACGTGCCTGTGTGTGTGTGTGTGTTATCATTCATAGTGTAAACCAAGTATTGAAAAGGAAAACAAAATGTTTAATGACCCAAAGTGATGGGGATAAGGCTTTCTAATTTCTAAGCGTAAAAACAATGGAAGAAATCACAGAAAGAAAACTGGATTAATTTTACCTTAATCCTGCATGTTAAGATATGTAAACAACAGAAAAGTGAAATGACAAAACAATATATGTAACAAATTTTTAAAAAGATGATAGTTAAAAGAACTGGTATAAAATCTCTAAAAAAAAAAAAAAAAACCACTAAAATCCCTAATGTGATAATGAACACATAATTTACAGACAAGGAACCATACATGGCCAGTAAACATGTGAAAAACTGTTTTTACCTCAGGGATAAGCCCCCAACGTGCAGTGTCACAGTCATGAGAAGACAATTTGGGACCTTCAAATTAGCACAGATTCGTATATACAGTACTAATTGCCGGCAAGGTTAATGTGAGATAAGCACCTTTTCATGCCACCCGTGCAAGTGTAAACTGGTAGATTTCTGAAAAGTTATTAATTGGCAGTACATATCATGAACTGCCAAATAGTTAACTTGTTTGTTTTGTTTTTAACATTTGGCTGCACTTTTAACTTTTGGTGTGGCCTGTGGGATCTCAGTTCCTCAACCAGGTATCGGACCCGCACCCCCTGCAGTGGAAGCACAGATTCTTAACCACTGGACCACCGGGGAAGTCCTAGTTAACTTGTTTTGACACACTATCTTCTAGAATTGTCCTAAGGAAAGCATTAAAACCACAAAAATTTGATCTAGAAATATTTATTGCAGCCTTTTTTTATCATTTAAATAAACTGGAAATTGCCTGATATTCCATAATAATGGATTGGTTATGTTATGGTACAGCCATACAATGAAAAATTGTACAAACATTAAAATAGTAATTGTAGAGAGTGTTTATTGACATAAGGAAATGCTCATGATCATACATCAGCTTAAAATAACAAAGTATTGTTACACAGTAAATACAGTATTTTATTGTTAAAAATTATATATACATATGCACATGTACATACATAAAGGACTGAAGGAAATATGTCAAAACAGCGGTATTATTAAGTATATAAATCATTTTCTCTATCTTTCTGATTTATGTTTTAATCTATGAATGTTTATGAGTTTTATATTTTTTGTTCAGTCTTTCTGGATTTTTAAAAAATTGTCTACAATACTCATTTACTACTTTTTGTTCATTTGAATATCATGCCATATATCAAAAAGTTTTTTTTACGTATTACACAAGTAAGAGCACATACAGACATACCTCAGAGATATTGCGGGCTCAGTTCCGGACCATCACAATAAAGTGATTATCACAGTAAAGGGAGTCAAACAAATTTTTTGGTTTCCCAGTGCATATAAAACTTATGCTTATACTATACTGCAGTCTGTTAAGTGTGCAGTAGCAGTATGTCTAAAAAAATACCTTAATTTAAAAATACTTTAGTGCTAAAACTGCTAACCATCATCTGAGCCTTCAGCAAGTCCTAATCTTTTTTGCTGGTGGAGCATCTCACCTCAGTGTCGATGCTGCTGACTGATCAGGGTGTTGGTTGCTGTAGGTTGGGGTGGCTGTGGCGATTTCTTAAAATAAGACAGCAGTGAAATTTGCCAAATCAATTGACTCTTCCTTTCACGGACAATTTCTCTGTAAACATACAATGCTGTTTGATAGCATTTTACCCACAGCAGAATTTCTTTCAAAATTGGAGTCAGTCCTCTCAAACCCTGCCTCTGCTTTATCAACCAAGTTTATGTAATATTCTAAATCCTATGTTTTCATTTCAACTGTCTTCACAATATCTTCACCAGGAGTAGATTCCATCTTAGGAAACCACTTTCTTTGCTTATCTGTAAGAAATAACTCCTTATCCGTTGAAGTTTTATCATGAGATGGCAGCAATTCAGTCCCATCTTTAGGCTCCACTTCCTTTTTTTTTTTTTTTTTTTGGCAGTACGCGGGCCTCTCACTGTTGCGGCCTCTCCCTCTGCGTAGCGCAGGCCCAGCGGCCGTGGCTTATGGGCCCAGCCGCTCCGTGGCACGTGGGATCCTCCCGGACTGGGGCACAGACCCGCGTCCCCTGCATCGGCAGGTGGACTCCCAGCCACTGCGCCACCAGGGAAGCCCTAGGCTCCACTTCTAATTCTAGTTCTCTTGCTGTTTCCACCGCATCTACAATTACTTCTTCTGAGGTCTTGAACCCCACAATTCCATCCATGAGGGTTGGAATCAGCTTCTTCAAAACTCCTATTAATGTTGATATTTTGACCTCTTCCTGTGAATCACGAATGTTCTTAATGGCATGTAGAATGGTGAATCCTTTCCAGAAGGTTTTCAGTTTACTTTGCCCAGATGCATCGGAGGAGTCACACTCTACAGCTATAGCTTTATGAAATGTATTTCTTAAATAATGAGACTGCAAAGTCAAAATGACTCCTTGATCCATGGGCTGCAGGATGGATGTTGTGTTAGCAGGCGTGAAAATAACAGTAATCTCATTGTACATCTCCAGCAGAACTCTTGGATGACCAGGCGCATTGTCAATGAGCAGTGATATTTTGAAAGGAATCTTTCTGAGCAGTAGGTCTCAACAGTGGATTTAAAGTATTCAGTAAATCATGTTGTAAACAGATGTGCTATCATCCAGGCTTGTTGTCCCATTTCTAGAGCACAGGCAGAGTAGATTTAGCATAATTCTTTAGGGCCCCAGGATTTTCGGAATGGTAAATGAGCATCGGCTTCAACTTAAAGTCACCAGCTGCATTAGCCTCTAATGAGAGTCAGCCTGTCCTTTGAAGCTTTGAAGCCAGGCATTGACTTCTCCTCTCTAGCTATGGAAGTCCTAGATGGCATCTTCTTCCAATCGAAGGCTGTTTCGTCTACATGGAATATCTGATGTTTAGTGTAGCCACCTTCTACATCAGCACTCGCTGCTTTACATTGCGCTTTTATGTTATGGAGATGGGATTCTCTCCTTAAACCTCATGAACCAACCTCTCCTAGCTTCAGACTTTTCTTCTGCCGCTTCCTCACCTCTCTCAGCCTTCATAGAATTGAAGAGGGTTAGGCCTTGCTCTGGATGAGGCTTTGGTTTAAGGCAATGTTGTGGCTGGTTTGATCTTCTATCCATACCACTCAGACTTTCTCCATAACAGCAATAGGCTGTTTTGCTTTCTTATTCTTGTATTCACTGGAGTAGCACTTTTAATTTCTCTCAAGAACTTTTCTTTTGCATTCACAACTTGGCTAATTATTTGGTGAAAGAGTTCTAGTTTTCAGGAATCTCAGCCTTTGACACATGTTCCTTGCTAAGCTTAATCATTTCTAGCTTTTGATTTAACATGAGAGACAGACAACTCTTCCTTTCACTTACACACTTAGAGGCCATTGTAGGGTTATTAATTGGCCTGATTTCAATATTGTTATGTCTCAGGGAATAGGGAGGCTGGAGGAGAGGGAGAGAGATGGGGGAACAACTGGTTGGTGGAGCAATCAGAACACGTTTACTGATGAAGTTTGCCATCTTATATGGGCACAGGTCACGGCACCCCAAAACAATTGCAATAGTAAAGTCAAAGATCACTGATAACAGAACACTATAACAGATATAATGAAAAACTTTGAAATGTTGTGAGAATTACTAAAATGTGACTCAGACACAAAATGAGGAAATGCTATTGGAAAAATGGTGCCAATAGACTTGCTTGATGCAGGTTGCCACAGACTTTCAATTTGTAAAAGATACAATATCTGCGAAGTGCTGTAAAATGAAGCACAATGAAATAAGGTGTGCCTATATTACTGTTATAATCAGTTAAAAAAATAATAAATTGCTTCTAAAGACACCACTCAGAAACTATCACAGTTAACATTTTAGTGTGCTGGTTTACATTATTTTTCCATGCATTTGGTTTGTGGAATGTGGGGAGGAAATTTTCCTTTTATATAGCTGTAAGCCCGTGTTTGTGCCCTCCTTTTTCCGTGTGACAGTTCTCTGGGATGTACGTTCTCGTGCCACTTATACTCCTGTGTCAGAGTGGTGCTAGTTGACACCTGAGGGACCCTCAGCCCTGGTCAGGGATGTGGGTCCTTGGGGGTGGTCCCTGCAGGAGCTGCCTTCTCCAGAGCCCAAGAAGAGCCTTGCTTTCTGGCCCTTTGCTGCAGGAAGACACGATGGAAGAGTCCGGGTGGAAGCTGGTGCACGGTGACGTCTTCAGGCCCCCGCAGTACCCCATGATCCTCAGCTCCCTGCTGGGCTCAGGCATTCAGCTCTTCTGCATGATCCTCATCGTCATCTGTGAGTAGCCCGGCAGGGGTGGAGGTGGGCTGGGGGTTTGGGGAGGGCGGGCTGTGCTCACCAGCGCAGCACAGGTCTGAGTCTGAGAAGAGGGTGGGCTTCCCTTCCTGGGGCGGGGGGTCATGTCAACATCTCTGGGCCAGACAGAGGCGTCCATCCCAGCAAGAGGGCTGGTCCTCTCAGCCACAGGCCCTGGTGATTTGCTCCTCCTCAGATCTTGCCAACACCATCGATAGCCCCCGACATCCACACCACCAATGAAGCCATATATCAGCACTCTGAGGTTGGCCTCCTTCTGCAGTCGGGCATTAAGTGACTTACCCATTTCAGCACCAGGATTAGGACTGGAATCAGGTCTTTTTTCTCAGAAAACACCCCCCAGAATGAATATATAGTAGTTACAGGCAGTTCTGAAATCAATCTGCCTAAATTTTTTTTTAACTATTTTAACTTCTTTTTTCTTTTTGCTGACATATAACACTGTATTAGTTTAAGGTATACAAAATAATGATTTGATATTATATGTATATATTGCAAAATGATTACCATAGTGAGTTTAGTTAATATCCATCACCTCGCATAGTTACAAATTTTTTTTTCTTGTGATGAGAACTTTCAAAATCTAATCTCTTAGCAACTAATCTGCCTAAATTTCTGTCTCAGCCTCATGCCTCCAAGCTTTGTGACCTTGGACAAGTCATGTAACTTCTGTGAGCCTCTCATTTAACCTCGTGAGCTGCAGTTTCCTCATCTAAGGAATGTGGGAACTAACCTCCACCTCAGAGGGCTGATGAGGTAGATTCAGTGAGCTGGCATTCGTAATGCTCTCAGCTCAGTGCCTGGTTGGTTGCAAGTGCTCTGTGGGTTGGCCATTACCATTAAGATGCATGGGGCTTCCCTGGTGGTACAGTGGTTAAGAATACGCCTGCCAATGCAGGGGACACGGGTTCAAGCCCTGGTCCGGGAAATTCCCACATGCCGCAGAGCAACTAAGCCCATGCGCCACAACTACTGAGCCTGCGCTCTAGAGCCCATAAGCCACAACTACTGAAGCTCGCACACCTAGAGCCCGTGCTGCGCAACAAGAGAAGCCACCGCAATGAGAAGCCCGAGCACTGCAATGAAGAGTAGCCCCCGCTCACTGCAACTAGAGAAAGCCTGCGCGCAGCAACAAAGACCCAACACAGCCAAAAATAAATAAAAATCCAATAAATTTTTAAAAAAAAGAAAAAGATGCAGCCAGCCGTGGCCCAGCAACTTCTGCACCCCTCTGAACCCCAACTAAGACCCAGTCTTCTCCAGTAGAGTAGGGAGAGGGAGTAGGGAGCCTCATCTAGCCTCACCTGCCCTGGGGCCCTGTGAGCCAGCCCGCGACTGGGCCTTGGGGCCTAGAGACCCTGACTTTCCCTCTCTTGCCCCTCCCTCCTCAGTTGTGGCCATGCTTGGGATGCTGTCACCCTCCAGCCGGGGAGCCCTCATGACCACGGCCTGCTTCCTCTTCATGTTCATGGGGTACGTGTGCATGAGTGGGGTCCCAGGGCTGGCGCAGACCGCCTGCACTGCAGCTAACAGGTCCCTTTGGTGTGGATCCCTTCCGTTTCCCCACAGGGTGTTTGGTGGATTTTCCGCCGGCCGTCTGTACCGCACTCTAAAAGGCCATCGGTGGAAGAAAGGAGCCTTCTGTGTAAGTGTCCTAACCCTCCTCCCCATGTTATTGGGAGGCCAAGAAGCTTCCTCCTGGGCTCCTCGAGAGCAGCATAGGCAGGCTCTGGTGGGGGTTTAGGGCCAGGTGCTGGGCAGCAGCCTGATGGGTGGGAAGAGCACACCCGAGGGCCAGGAGTGCTGGGCTCTCACCCCTGGGTGCTTACCTCTGAGGCCTTAGTAGCCGCATCCATGAAAAGAGGGAGTTGAACTTAGATGATTTTTAACCTACATTGTCCCATGGCTCAAGCACAAGAAGAAATAGGGGATTCAGAATAACAGGATTTAGACACCATCCCAGGTGTCAAAGTTTAAGGTCAAAACCTGATCAGCAGGGCAGCTGTGAGAACACCCTACCCAGCAGAGTAAAGAGAGAATTACCTGCCAGGGGTGGGAGAAGCCAGGCCCCACGTCACTGTCAGCCGGTTTTCCAGACTTTGGGGCCTCTGTTCCTCTTCAGTAAGGTCAGCTTCTGGTGTTCACTGTCCTCCTGGTGGTGAGGAGAGTTCTTGGCAACAGAAAAGACCACAGAAACCGGAGGACGCCTGGGAGTTGACCCTGCCTTCCAGGGAGCCCTGAGCCCCTTGTCCCAGAGCAAGTGAGCCCGTACAGGACCAGGGAAACCCCTGGTGCCAAATTCAGAGAAGCCTCTAGACCCAGGCCTTCTGAAACCATTCTCACAGCTATCAAAAGAGCAGGGGAACTCAGGCTATCCCAGCTCTGGCAAATACCCCTGGCAATTAATAAGCCCTCAGTATAGAAGAGCTGTGACAGTGGTTGTTCTGGAAAGATCAAAAAGAGTTTCCTAAATTCTTGACGCATCAGGTGTTTTTCTCAGGCTACTGTGTGCTGAGACCCAGGGATCTTCAGAGCTGTAAAACCCAGCCCTCTCCTCACCTGGTGAGACTTCCCTGATGAGGTCTCCCACCAGATACCCTCCAAGTCTCCCTGTACTGGTCACACGGCAAACCCCGTCTCTCTGCCCCAAACCTGCTCCCTGCAGCCGGTGGCACCATCATCCACCCGGGCCCCCAAGGCAGTCACCTGGGTGGCTCCCTTTCTTCCTCCTACTCACTAGCGCCCCCGCCTCCTCTCATACATCAAGTGTGGACGGTTCTGCCAGATAGTCCACGAATTCCTTCCCATCTCCATCCCCAGGACTCCTGCCCAGGTTCAGGCATCTTTCCCTCCTGCCTGGGCCCTTGGCTATCCTAGGCCTCCTCAGTTTCCCTGCAAGATTCTGACCTTTCCCTGGTGTGGAGCTCTGCCTCGCTCCACAGGCGGGCCTCTGCTGCAGCCGCAGCCGTGCAGGTGTACAACTGCTCTTCTCTCCTCCGGCCTCTGTGTGGGCAGCTAAGTCTTAGCTCCGGGGTCACTCTTCCTCCCCCACCGATTCTAACTTCAGGGTCCTCCTTGGCACCCCAGAGGGGCCTGGGCAGAGCCTTGTGCCTATGAGTGCCACTTATGTCATTCTCCATTTATGGGTCTGAACATTTTTCCTGTTCTTCCTGGTATCTAGCACAGTGCTCAGTCCATAAATTTCAGCCAGGAGGACAGACGAGGAATTCTCTGCTACACAGCAGAGTAAAGCAGAAACACACAGGAAGGGGGGAAATGACATTTGAGCTGGGCCTCGGAGAGGAGGGTTTCAACTGGATGGACGCAGCCAGCAAGGAGGCCTCAGGTTCTGGAATCTCCTGGATCCCAGTCCTGGCTCTGTTATTTCCTTGGTTGGTAACCTTGACCAGCCCTCTGAGCCTTGGTTTCCCCATCTCTCCAGTGGGGGCTGGTTGCACCTAAGTCTCAGGTTGTTGTGTGGTTGGAAGGAGACTGCATACAGAAGGCCACTGGTTCAGCACTGGCACTCAGACGGCAGATCCCTGAGATGCTGATGACTCTACCTAATGAAGGCCCGGGGTCAGGGACGTGGAGAGCAGTGGCCAGTTAGTGGGTGTGGGAGGCTACAGGCTAAAGGTAAATAAAACTGGCCGTGAAGCTGAGCACCAGATTGCGGGGAGCCTCAGGCCTCATGGGCAGACCCCTTGGATGCTCAGGCAGCCGCAGTAGTAAAGGAGGCTCCACTGTAGGTCTAGGGCTTTGGTTCCCAGTGCCTGAGCCCCAGCCCCAGAGGTCTTGACTGGATAGAATACGCCGCAGGGCGTCAGGAGCAGGGCCTCTGGAGTCAGACTGCCTGGGTTTGAACCTCTGCTCCACCCTTAACTGACTGTGTGAAGTTGGGGTGTGGGGTATTTAACGTTACTGGGCCTCTGTCCTCTTCTTGAAGAGGCATAGTGACAGTCCTTCCCATCTAGGCCTGTAGTGAGGATTGGGTGAGATGATTGATTCATGTGGAGGCGAGCACCCACCGCCCCTAAGACTCAGTTAAAGCTTACCCACCACTCTGGACAGTTTGGGTTGAGGCCCAGACCTACGTGTTTAGTAAAACTTTTATTTGGTCATTCCTATTCAACAAATGCTTATTGAACACTACTGTGCTCTGAGTGCTGGGAGCACATCAGTGAGCAGGACCTGATCCTCCCAAGAGCTTATGTCCTTGGGGGTAACAACAGCACATGATTATGAACACGGATGAGGGCGAGGACGGTGCAGTTCAGGGATCTAAAAGGACAGAGAGCGGGAGGTCTTGCCTAGTCTGGGGGTCGGGGAATGCTTTCTGGAAGGGTTTATCCTTGAGCTGAGTCCTACAGGACAGGGAGGGCTTGAGAACCTCTAGTCGGGGAGCCCTGATGGGGCAGGTGGGAGCTCTCCCTAGATGCAGCTCCCCAGCCTGGTCTCTCTTGCTTCCAGACGGCGACATTGTACCCTGGCGTGGTTTTTGGCATCTGCTTCGTATTGAATTGCTTCATCTGGGGAAAGCACTCATCAGGGGCGGTAAGTGCCCTCCCTAGCAAGGGAGGGCCAGCTGTGCTCAGGCCCATTGCTGCAGGTCACTTCCTGCCGCTTCCTTCCCTTTTCTAAGTCCCCAGAGGGCTGTTCCCAGCCCTGGGGGCTGAGGGCTGGCCACGGTTTCTCCAGCCCTATGCATCCATCTGTCCTGCCCTTCCTGTGGGCTCTTTCAGACAGCTGACCAAAGCTCACTTCTCTAAAGGGAGATTTCCACAGTCCAGGGCCCAACTGGGGAATTTCCCTCGTCTCAACCAAGGGAAAGCTGCTTGGTATGACTTGATGAGGTCAGTCTCCCAAAACAAGGCTCTCCTCCTAGTGTCCCTGCCCCGAGTTCAGCACCAGCCCCACTGTGAGGATTGTGGACTCATTTGGGGGTGGGGAGATGGTCTTGATGGATTAGCTGCGGGAGAGGTGGGGCAGGTGTTTGCCATCCCAGCCTCAGCGGAGAGAACCGCCTCCCCTCCACTGGCAGGTGCCCACAGAAGGTGCTTGGGTGAGGCTTGCAGTCCGGGCTGCCGGAGGACTGGGTCCTTCCCAGCGGTCCAGGGAGCTGCCCTCAGGAAAGACAGGGTCATGCTCTTCCTCTCACTTCCTCCTTTTTATACCTGTCTCCCTTCTCTCTCTCAACATTTTTCTCCCAGTTACCAGCTGCTCACTATAAACACTCATGGCAGAAATTTTAGAAAGGAAATGTGCCCCCTGCAATGGAAGCGCAGAGTCCTAACCACTGGACTGCCAGGGAATTCCCTGTTTTTGTGGTCTTTTAACCTCTTTTTAGATATGTTTAAAATGGAATAATGTAATCGTAAAATTATAAAATAATAGCAAACATTTTTATAGTGCTTACTTTGAAATAAGTATTGTTCTGAACACTTTACAAATATTAATTCATTTCTTCCATTTTGTGTGAGTTGTAAAAACCTCAGACTGTGCAGAGGGGAATTTAAAAAAAAATGAAAAATCAGTTCCAAAGCCCCATACTCCATCTGAGGAAGTGCTGTTAACTTTTTGGTGTAGGCCTCTCCAGGCATGTATGCATATAAGTATTGGGGTGTTTTTATTAAAATGGAGTTCTCTACATACAGTTTTATATCCTACTTTTTTCACTTCGTGGTATATTGTGGTGTTTTCATTGAGTGAAATTGGGAACACACTGTTTGTGCACTTCTGTTTTTTCCCCTTCGTTTTCACTTAACAGACCACACATAATTTCCCTTCATTCCGGCCCTCCCTCTCCCCTTCATGCTCTCAGCCCCTCCTTCCTTGTTCTTTCCCCACGTCCTCCCTGGCGACAAGCTCCTGTAGGATGCCGTGGTTCCTTCACTTCATGGCTCAACTGGCCCTCCATCTGCCCTCTGCTTTTCCCAGGGCTGGGGTCAGCCCCAGGACAGTCTGGCCAGGAGCCCTGTGGGGGGCGTGTCTGCAGGAGCTTCCCCACCATGGTGGTCCTGCTGTGCCCTTCCTGCCCTGGGACCCAGAAGGTCCTTGCCCCCCGCACGGCCACAACCTGGGCTTCCGGGCCTGTGGAGCCTCACGGTGCTGTGCCCACAGGTGCCCTTCCCCACCATGGCGGCCCTGCTATGCATGTGGTTCGGGATCTCCCTGCCCCTCGTCTACCTGGGTTACTACTTCGGCTTCCGCAAGCAGCCGTATGACAACCCTGTGCGCACCAACCAGATTCCCCGGCAGATCCCTGAGCAGCGGTGGTACATGAACCGATTTGTGGGGTGAGTCTCTGGCAAGGGCCAGGTGGGGGCTTCTGGAGTAGGCAAGGCCAGCGTTCCCCCGAGCCGTCTCCTTGGAAAGACATGGACAGGGGTGCCCTCCCCCTGTGGGGGCTATAACAGGTGCTCCTGCAGCCCTGGCTGGCTCTAGTAGACTTCCTGAAAGCTTAGCTTCACTCCAAGGTAGAGAGGACCAAGTTGTAGCCAGACTCGGTGTTGGCCAGGGAAGGGGTGGAGTGGAAAGGTGCAGGGTGACAGGTAAAGACTACCTTGGACCTTGGGCAAGTCACGCCACCTCTCTGTACTTCAGTTTGCCCATCTATAAAATGGGGAGAATGATGCCCACCTCTTGAGAGGCTATAATGGTACAAAAGCATGCCGAAAGATTCAGACCCACCAAACAGTGTAAGCATTCTCATTCTTGCTGGCTCAGGAGGGAGCCCGAAGCTTCCAGTGGCCCAGGTCTCCCAGCAGTGTTAACCCTCCCATTCTCTGCAGCATTCTCATGGCTGGGATCCTGCCCTTTGGCGCCATGTTCATCGAGCTTTTCTTCATCTTCAGTGTGAGTACTGCTACTTGCTCCCCACCCCTCACCTTCACCCACACTAGCCTAGTCCCTACCCCTCCACTTAGGTGCTCTGCCTCTTACCGCCTGTGACATTTCAGACACACCTTTTGGCTGCTTTAGCAATATTGCAGTCAGTCACCAGCATTATTAATATCATTGTTGCGTCTGCTTTGACTGCTGGGTCCCTACATGTCTTTACCTAAGTTGCTCAAAACTCCTAGGAAAGTGGGGGGATGATGCCTAATTCTCAGGATCATCATGAGGCTGGAACATGATAATGTCTATAAAAGGCACAGCGCCTGGCATTCAGGAAATGCTTGTTAACTTGTAGCTGCTGTTGTAATGATGATTACTCCTCTCCCAGGCATGCCAAGATGAAAGTTGGCAGAACGGTTCTTCAGAGCCATCTAAGTCCAGCTGACCCAGCTCAGCGCCTAGCATGGAGGGAGGGTCTTGCACTAAGTCAGTGCTGGACAAGCATCCACTCCTCTGGAGTGGCCCAGCCCGTCCCTGCTGAGACCCCCTCGCCCACCCAGGCCTGCCTAGGACGAGTTGGCTGCCTGGGCAGGGAGGCTACATCTATTCTGTTTGTGTGACGCCGGGCCAATCACCAGCCTCTCTGAACCTTGACTTCTTTCACTGTAAAATGCCATGCTTTCATAGGCTGACACGTGGTGTTGTATGTAAAGCACGTAGCACTATGCCTGGCACATGGTGAGCTGCCCCAGGTAGTGGTGGCTGCTGTGTAATTTTGATTGGGGTGGGATTCATTATTTTCCACAAGCTGCTGAGTTCAGGCGGGGGCCACCCATCTCAGGATCAGCCATGCCCCGGCCCCTCCCTAGGAACCCTTTGCTCCAGGGAGGAGAGACCAGTCAGCCACGAGCCAGGCCCACAGGCCCCAGTGGTGTCATGATGGTGTCTCCATTCCTGCCAGTCCTGACTAAGGGATGGAGTTCCCGAGCACAAGCGGGGAGCGCCAGGGGAGCGGGGGCAGGCCAGCTGAAGGCCAGCTGTGGTATATCCACAGGCAATCTGGGAGAATCAGTTCTATTACCTTTTCGGCTTCCTGTTCCTCGTCTTCATCATCCTGGTGGTGTCCTGTTCGCAAATCAGCATCGTCATGGTATACTTCCAGCTGTGTGCAGAGGTGAGGGGAATGGGGCCAGCAGTTTGGGGGGTGCAGCTGGGTCCAGTATTGAATTGGGTCAGTGAGGCTGTCTGGGTTTCTCATGTGGTCCTACCTCTTCTGGCCATGAGGTCTTGGGCAAGTACATCACTTCCCCTTGCCGAGCCTCCATTTGTTCAGCTGTAGACTAGAGTTCATGATCCCTAGCTCACTGCATAGCCTTGCGGGGAGTCCACGGCCTGCTGACAGTAGACTCGTCAGTGCTGAGTCCACTCCAGTAGTGGTTTCTTCAGCAGGTGATGCAGTTTGGGTGACCTGCCCTCCATCTGGGGACTAGCTCTTGACGGCCAAAACAAGGGCTCTGGGACAGACAGCCTGAGCTGAAACCCTGGCTCCTCTGTTAGTAGCTCTGGATCTTGGGCAGTTGTTTAACCTCCGTGTGCCTTCCGGGCCTGACTCACAGGGCTGCTGCAAAGACTCAGTGAGCTGATTCACATAGAGCACTTAGAACAATATGTGGCACATGGTGAGCGTTTGCTCAAGAAATGCTAATGTTGTTAATAATGTTCTTTGTTGTTGCTGATTTTTAAAAATTGAGATATAATTTATAAACAGTGAAGTTCACCCTTTTTAATCTACAGTTCTGTAAGTTTTTAGAAATGCATACAGTTGTGTAACCACCATCACAGTCAAGGTATAAAAAGCTTCGCATCACCCCAAATATTACAGTTCTTACCCAGGGTCTTCAGTTCCTCAGGCAGCTCTGAAACCTGGGGAAGAGGTTCTGCCTGGAGACAGCGATGACCCTTCTCTGTTTCCTCCTCAGGATTACCGCTGGTGGTGGAGGAATTTCCTAGTCTCCGGGGGATCTGCATTCTATGTCCTGGTCTATGCCATCTTTTATTTTGTTAATAAGGTACCACCCTGCATGAGGGAGCCCCCTAGCCCTTTCAGGGCAGGATTGTGGTGGGGAGGGTGCTGGGGAAAAACCCCAAGTGTCTAAGTCTTACTTTTCTGCCAAGAATGAGGAGGACCAAAGTCATCCTAGAACTGTTCCTGCTCTTAGAACATAATCTTTTTAGGAAAGAGAGTATGTTTGGGTGACAAAAGCCTTCAGGATAAATGGCAATGAGAATGTTGTATGCAAAACCTGTGAGATACAACCAAAGTAGAACTTAAAGGGAGTATATCACCTTACAGTGCTTTTAAGAGGAAGTAAGAGAGACTAATACAGTGTTCACCTCAAGAAGACAGGAGAAAAAAAAAAAAAAAGAACAGTAACTTGAAAGAATGAAAGTAAATGAGAAGAGTTAATAAAGGTAAAAGCAGAAACTGCTGAAATAGCCTTTAGCACTCAGATTTAGGAACTCGGCTATACTCACAGAGCTCACTGTCCCCAAAGAGTGGCATGAGAGTAAGAATACAAACAGATCCCCACAGCAGGTTCATTAGATTTGTGTGTAACACATAAACCAGATGGGCCATAGAGAGGAGTCTGGGGTCACTCTGGTGGACCCCATGTTACCTCTGGAGCTTACACTGAAGACAGTTTTACCCGCTGTACTTTGGGTATCCAGAACCCCAAACCGAGAAGTCCTCTGCTTATAACCAGGGTGTATTCCCAAACTAGAGACATAGTTTGGTTGAAGCTTGGAATTCCCTTTCCCAGCAGTGTCAGGTTGGAAAGGACTGTCCAGATATTTGAGTGCGGTGCTGCACCCCTGCTTCCAGTTTGCTGACTGCCCTCTTCTCCAGCGATCCCAACAAGTGATCATCTAGCTCAGGGGTCAGCCAACTGTAGCCCATGGGCCAGCAGGCCTGCTTCTGTAAACAAAGTTTTATAGGCACAGAGCCATGCTTGTTCATTTACATATTGTCAAGGCTGTTTTTACACTACAATGGCAGAGTGGAGTAGTTTTGACAGAGGCCATGTGGCCTAAACTATTTATAATCTGGTCCTTTAAGAAAAAGCTTGCTGACCCCTGCTCTGGCACATCCAGCAACAGAAGACACTCCCTCCTGATGCTCCCATTCTCTTTGGATAGCTCCTGTCATTATCAAGGCCTTCCTTAAGTCACACTGAAATCTGCCTCCCTGGAAATTCCATCTTCAGACCACAGTCTTGTTCCTGGAATCCTGCAGAACAAATCTAATTTCGCTTCTCTACAGCCCATATTAATCAGAACTATTTTGAATGGAAAGTGACCAAAACCAGTCCCAACTGGCTTAAGCAAAAAAGAGAATGTTTTGGCTGATGTAAGTTTAATACGAAGTTGGAGTTCTAGCTTCAGGCTTGGTTAGATCCAGCAGCTCAAATGGTCTCAGGGCTCTGTGTTTATTCCTCAGCTCTGTGTGTGTTTTCTTGGCTTCAATCTGCAGGCAGGATCTTTCCACAAATAGAAGGATGGCCAGTAGCAGCCCTAGAGTCTCCTCTTCTCAGCTTTGCAGCTCTAGAACTAAAACAACATCTTTCCTCTATCATTATGTTATAAATCCCAGGGAAGACACTCATTGGCCCAGGCTACATGCCATCCCTCACTGTTCCTCATGTCCAGTAGGATGGCATACTCTGATTGACTAGCTTAGGTTTTGTATTAGGACCGACAGCCCCAATAGGACCACAAAGTAGGGAGTGGGTACCCGAGACACCAGGAAGAAGGAAGACAGGAGCCAGTGTTGGGCAAGCAAAACCTGCTACCATAGCCGCCTACACAAGGGTCACGTCTCAGCCTCCTGCCCTTCCTGCCTCTGGCCCAGGCTTTCTTCTCTGCTCTAAAAACCTCCTCCAGCCCCAGAGCCCTGTCTGTAAAATGGTGGCCTTGGCCTGTCTGAACTCTAAGGAACTTTTCAGCACTGCCTTTTTGCCTCATCCCTCTCCTGGTTTTACCACTGGATTTACCACTGACCTGTTTCCCCCCTCACCTTCACCCCATCTTCAGCCGTAAGAAAGCTCATAAAAGGAGACATAGGCAGTTGAGCTGGAAAACATGGCCTTCACCCCTAGTTTGAGGACATTTGACTTCAGGGAGACGGTCTCAAACAGTGACCCTTATTGTTTTCTTCTGGGCTCCTGGCATTTTGTGACCATTTGTCTTCCCATGAGCCCTAGAACAGGCCCCACTCAGGCCCTGGTGGGCTGGGCAGGTCTTGATACCAAGGTCCTAGATTAGTTCCACTTGGCCCAGCAAACCCCACCACACCCCAGATTCCCTAGCATCCCTGCCCAGGCCTCAGAACTCCGCAAAGGAGTTCAAATGCTGCAAGATAAAAATCCCCATGAGAGGGTAACGAAAGTGACAGAGTGCACTCAGGTGGAGAGGACTGTAGGCTGAGACAGGCTCACGGTGGCTCTCTGTTCCTAAAGCCAGGAGCCCTGGACGCCTCTCTCCTGCCCCCACTTCCTGTGCTCCAGCATCCAGGAGTCTCACTGTACTGTTCTGGGGACTGTGGAGAGTGAAGAAGTGACAGCTATGGCCACTGCTGCCTTTGTCATTCTGGCACTGGCCCCTGAGGTCAGCCCCGTCTCCCAGCGAGCTCCCAGGCCCCTCCCCAGGAAGACTCCCACTCCCTCCTACCCCCAGAGGAAATGGCCTTGGGCTCTTAGCCCTCTAGCCCCAGGTTCAAATCCCAGCTCCTTCTGTTTCCCGGCTGTGTAACTGTGCCCCATCTGTAAAGTGGGTTAATAACCTACCATAGTGGTTGTGAGCATCTAAGGCGGTGCATGGGCCCTGGTACTGATGAAGGTCCACCATGACTGTGAGACCCACCTGCCCCTCGCTGCCCACCTGGGGCAGGCCCCTTCCCCTTGCCAGTCTTCAGCTTCACCACGAGATCAGTGAGAAGGTAGGGGGACACCCAGTTGGCCACGGCAGGCTGGCACTAAGCGTGTCCCCTCTCTTCTCTCCCCTGCTCGTGCGCCAGCTGGACATCGTCGAGTTCATTCCCTCTCTCCTCTACTTTGGCTACACGGCCCTCATGGTCCTGTCCTTCTGGCTTCTCACGGGCACCATCGGCTTCTATGCAGCCTACATGTTTGTCCGCAAGATCTACGCTGCTGTGAAGATAGACTGATGGGGGTGGACCGTGGCCTGGCCCACTCCATCCACGGACAGGAAGCCACCCCGTGTGGGGAACTGCAGGCACGTAAAATAAAATAACTCCTGCTCATTTGGAATGTAACTCCTGGCAGAGTGTTCCTGGATCCTGGGGCTGCATAGGGGGCGGAGGGCCTATAGGTAAATCTTGCATTTTTCTTCATCATCTTATTCCAGTTCTGTGGGGGATGAGTTTTTTGTGGGTTGTTTTTCTTCAGTGCTAAGAAAGATCCCTCCAGCAGGAACTCTCAGACCTGTTTATTCAGGTTTCTTTTTGGTTTGGAGTTTTTTCCTTAGTTTTTTTAACAAATGGATCCAGGATGGATAAACCCATCAAGACACTGGGTTCTGGTCACTGTCTCCACCTCAGTTCCTCAGGGCTGTTGGCCACCCCACGACTAACTGGAAGAGGAAACGCCGGGCCTTCCAGGCTCCAGTGAGATTTCTGAGCCTCTTGCTGCCCGTTCTCGCCATTGATGCCGCGACAAAGCACAGCTCAGCCTGGACACGCATCCTCAGTGCCAACCAGCCTCTTCCAGCCCCTTTTCCTCCCTCTTCTCTCCTCCCCAGCCTCCTCCCAGGGCTGCTCGAGGCGGGGCTTCCCTCCAGGCCTCCGGTCATCTTGTCACTGGGAGCAAGCCCAGGTCTTGGTTGCTACAAGGAAATCCCCTGGAAGTACTGGGCACCAAATGCCCCAGGACAGCCGGAGTTGCCCCTGCTCAGAGCAGTGAGAGTTTTCTCGACCGGAGGAGAGACTTGCAATGAACCGTCTTCGTGCCAAGGAACCCTGGATCCAGGGCCAAGTGTTTCCAGAGCCAAACCAAGCATCCATGTGTGTGCGTGGGCTGAGGGTCCTCACCCCGCAGGAGGCTCCTCAGCCGCTTCCTTGGGGGGGTTGCTGCTCTTTGCAGAGTGTGCTAGGGTGGGCCCTTTCCTCCATTTCCAGGGCAGGACAAGGCCTGGCGACCGCAGACCCCCTCCTTTAGGTGGCTGGGAAGAGGCACTCTCCCTGACAGCCCCCAGCCTTAGTGCCCATGCACAGCTCTTTTAGCCAGACCCCTCCCCTCCACCTCCTGTCTGAGTTCTTGTCTCCTTTGAGGAACACCCAGAACACTGGTTGCGAGAAGGAAGATGGAAAGTAAGTTCTGTCATTCCTTCCCCGAGTCCCAGGAATAGGCAAGGAGCCCAACTTAGGAAGAGGAGCTGACGTGCAGGCCTGGCTCCCCTGTCAGCGCCCACTCCTCCTAACCCACCCCCCGCCCCCGTGCGTGTCACAAGACGTCTGCTCCTAAGCTGCAAGAGACCAAACCCACCCTGGGGTCAGGGTTCGAGTAGCAGCCACTCACCCTGGCTGCAGCCCCTTGAGGAAGCCCAACACAAGACAAAGCTCAGGATGCTGGCTGAGCTAGGAACACACCACCCTCCCCGCCGCCCTCCCCCCGCACTCTCCCAGCAGCCCTCACCAGCTCCACCAGTCAAACCGGTGATCTTCTCAACCTTGCCTCACAGCGACTCCGCAGTGCCAAGCGGCGTCCACCAAGAATCAGGTTGGAGGAAAGGGAACCCAAGCAGTAGAGTATGATAATGGAGTCCTGTTCATTCGGATCTTGGATTTTTTTCCCTAAGAGATTCTCTTTTGGGGGGGAGTGGGGAAACGGACTCCTCATAAAGGGTTCAAACAGCATCGATTTTTCTGACTTTTTAAATCATCATCATCATTATTTTTAATTAAAAGATGCCTGTATGCCTTTTTTTGGTCCAATTGTAAATAAATATGTCATTGTCCTGTTGTCATGTCTCTTGAATCTCTTCAAGGGTCTGAGGTGAGACAAATTCCCCAAATGTGTTGAGCTGAGTGGTTTCCCTCAAAGCTCAGTCTCATGTCAGGCTTTCTAGGGCCCAGGCCACTGCTCTTCCCCTGCCTGGTGCTTGTTCATAGCCTCCGCCATCTGCTTAGCCCCTCGATACCGAATCACTAAGCATGCCCCTCTGGTCCCACAAGTAGGAGATGGTAATCATGTGTGAGCTTTGGTAGCAGTGAGACCTGGTTTTTAAATGATTCCCAGTTCCAGTATTTTGCTGCTCACTCACTTCACCTCTCTGTCATGTAAGACACCTTCGGTTGCAGGCAGTGGAAATGGGTCACACAGCCTAAAGCCCCAAGGAGGATTGACTAGCTCATAAGTCAGCAAGGAAAGGAGTGGTTTGGCTTCAGGTCTGGATAGATCCAGGGGCACAAAGGATAGCCTTAAGATTCTCCCTGTCTCCACTGTGCTTTTCTCTGTACCATTTGTCCCATTGTCGACAGTCTTCTTTCCTGTGGGGGAAGCAGGGAGAGCATGGCACAGATCACTCTAGGCTTACATTAGCCAGTTTAGAAAGCCCAGAAGAAAAAGACATCTCCTTATGTCAGTATAGTCAATATAGATAAATCCTAGGAAAGGTCTCTGATGGGCCCGGCTTGGGTTACTGTTCATACATCTTGGACCAATCACTACATCCTGGGTGATAAGAGTCCTATTACAGGCTGCGTACCCCAAGTGTACTGGATACTGTGAATTTCAGCCCACCAGAGTCACATGGAATGGGTGATGAGGAAAGAACAGTTAACCACAGTAGGGTATGCACAGCAAACAAAAACAACATTTGCCTGTTAGACCCACCCACTCCAATGCCAAACCTCAGTGAGAAAGGTGCCGATTGCCATTCATGGGATGCTTCCTGTGTTCCAGACACTGTTACAAACACTTGCCATGTGTTAGGCCATTTAATCTTGAATAGGATCCTCTGAAGCGTGTTCCGTTATTAGCCCCCTTTTACAGAGGAGGTAACAGGCACCAGTAGTTCAGGTAGCCTGCTGGGGGGGGGGCGTCCCATGGCAAGTGAGTGCTGGAGTAGTACTCAACTGAAGCAGCCAGACTCCAAGGCCTGTTCTTCCAACCACTACTATAGCTGCTTTTGTAAAAGAATGTGTATTTAAAAAAAAAAGTGTATTTATGTTTATATTTTTAATATAAATTATAATTGATAGAAACTACACCATTTGATATGTTCTGATGTGTGTGTGTGTGTGTGTGTGTGTGTGTACAATTTATTTATTTTTTGGCTGTGCCGTGCAGCATGTGGGATCTTAGTTCCCCAACCAGAGGTCAAACCCGCAACCCCTGCAGTGGAAGCGTGGAGTCTTAACCACTGGACCACCAGGGAAGTCCCATGTTTTGACATATATGTATATCATGAAACCATCACCACAATCAAGATAGTGAACATATTCATCGACCCAAGTTTCTTCATGTCCTTTGTAATCCTGGCCTCTAGCCTCTCACCATTCCTGTTTTCTGTCCTATAGATTAGTTTACCTTTACTAGGGCTTTATATAAATGAAATCATATGTATGCTTTTTTGGTCTTTTTTCATTCAGCGTAACTATTTTGAGATTAATCCACATTGTTATGTATATCAGTAGTTCATTCCTCTATATTTCAGAGTATATGAAATCCCATTGTATGGCTATACCATAATTTGTTTATCTACTTATCTATTGACAGACATTTGTGTCTCAAGTTTCTGGCTATTACAGATAAAATTGCTGTGGGCTTCTCTGGTGGCGCAGTGGTTGAGAGTCCGCCTGCCGATGCAGGGGACGTGGGTTCGTGCCCCGATCTGGGAAGATCCCACATGCCGCGGAGCGGCTGGGCCCGTGAGCCATGGCCGCTGAGCCTGCGCGTCCGGAGCCTGTGCTCCGCAACGGGAGAGGCCACTACAGTGAGAGGCCCGCGTACCGCAAAAAAAAAAAAAAAATTGCTGTGAATAAGTGAAGCAGTGAAATGGCTGGATCATGAGATAGTGGTAATGTTTAAGCTAAACTGCCAAGCTGTTTTCCAAGGTGGTTGTATCTATAATTTCACATTCCCATCAGCAGTATATAAGAGTTCCAGTTGCTCCACATTCTGACACTTCCTGTGGTTAATCTTTTTAATTTCAGCCATTCTAACAGGTGCAAAATAATGTCTCACTGTGATTTCAGTTTACATATCCCTAGTGACAACTTTTATTGAGCATCTTTTCATGTGCTTATCTGTCATCCATATATCTTCTTTGATGAAGTGTCTGTTCAAATCCTTTGCCCATTTTTTAATGAGTTGCTTGTTTTTTGAAATTAAGTTTTGAGAGTTCTTTATGGATTCTGCATACAAGTCCTTTATCAGATATATGCTTTGCAAAGATTTTCTCCCAGTTTGTGGCTTGTGTTTTCCTTCTCTTAATAGCGTCTTTTAAAGAGCAGAAATTTTTAATTTTGAAAGAGTCCAGTTATCAATTCGTTCTTTCATGGATTGGGGTTAGGGTGTCATATCTAAGACATCTTTGCCTAACTCAAGGTTACAGTGATTTTTCTCCTATGTTTTCTTTAAGAAGTTTCATAGTTTTAGGTTTTGTGTTTAGATCTATGATCCTTTTTGAAGCCTGTGTTCCACCTTTTAGTATAGGTGCAACATATGGATCTAAGTTCTTTTTTTTTTTTTTTCTAACCATTTCTTGAAAAGCTTATCTTTTCTCTTTGTGTCTTTGACAAAAATCAGTTGCCCACCTGTGTGTGGATTTACTTCTGGATTTTCCATTCTGTTCTATTGTTCTGTGCATTTTTATGCCAATGCCACACTTTTTATTACTGTAGCTTTATAATAATTCTTAGAATCAGGTGTTGTTAGCCCTCCAATTTTGTTCTTTTTCAGCATTTCGAGGCCCTTTGATTTCCATATGAATTTTTAAATCATCTTGTCAATTTCCACAAAAACACCTGCTGTAATTTCTTTTTTTAAAAAATTATTTATTTATTTAGACTGCACTGGGTCTTAGCTGCAGCTCACAGGATCTTTGTTTAGTTGCGGCATGTGGACTCTTAGCTGCAGCATGCATGCAGGATCTAGTTCCCTGACCAGGGATCGAACCCGGGCCCCCTGTATTGGGAGCTCGGAGTCTTACCCACTGGACCACCAGGGAAGTCCACACTTGCTGTAATTTCAATTGAGATTCTGTTAAATCTATAGACCAATTTGGGAAGAATTGACATCTTATTTTTATTTTTATTTTATTTTATTTTATTTTTTTTTTTTTTTGCGGTACGCGGGCCTCTCACTGCTGTGGCCTCTCCCGTTGCGGAGCACAGGCTCCGGACGCGCAGGCTCAGCGGCCATGGCTCACGGGCCCAGCCGCTCCGCGGCATGTGGGATCTTCCCGGACCAGGGCACGAACCCGTGTCCCCTGCATCGGCAGGCAGACTCTCAACCACTGCGCCACCAGGGAAGCCCCAAGAATTGACATCTTAATGTTGAGTCTTCTGACCTGTGGACAACTTATATCTCTCTGTTTAATTTCTCTCAACCATATTTTGCAGTCTTCAATGTATAGGTCTTTCACAGCTTTTTGTCAGATTTATTCCTAAGTACTTCATACTTTTGATGCCATTAAAAGTGGTGTTTTTTAATTTCTAAGTTTTTCATTGCTAGCAATAGAAATATAATTGTTTTGTTTTTGTTTTTTTTTTTTGGCTGCACTGGGTCTTTGTTGCTGCGCACGGGTTTCTCTAGTTGTGGCAAGCAGGGACTACTCTTTGTTGTGGTGCGCAGGCTTCTCATTGTGGTGGCTTCTCTTGTGGAGCACGGGCTCTAGGCGCGCGGGCTCAGTAGTTGTGGCTCACGGGCTCTAGAGCGCAGGCTCAGCAGTTGTGTCGCACAGGCTTAGTTGCTCCACAGCATGTGGGATCTTCCCGGACTAGGCTCGAACCCGTGTCCCCTGCATTGTCAGGCGGATTCTTAACCACTATGCCACCAGGGAAGCCCCACAATTGAGTTTTATATATTGATCTTATATTCTAAAACCTTGCTAAATTCATGTATTAGTTCTAGTAGCTGGTTTTTTTTGGGGGGGGTTGTTTGTTTTGTTTTTTTTTGTCTTTTGTATATTCCTTCAGAATTCTACATAGATGATCATGTTGTCTTGCACTGGCCACAGCCTCAAATACAGTGCTGAATGGTGCGAGTGGACATCTCTCTTTAATTTGCTCTCTTCTGGTTTCTTAAGGTGGAAGCTGAGGTCATTTATTTGAGGTCTTTTTTTTTTTCTGAAATAGGTGTTCATAAATTTCTTCCTAAATACTGCTTTAGCAAGATCCCAGAAATACTGATATGTTGTGTGTTCATTGTCATTCAGTCCAAGATACTTTCTAATTTCCATTTGATCACTTGTTTGATTCATGGTTATTTAGAAGTATGTTATTTAGTGTCCAAATATTGGGGGATTTTTTTCAAGGATATTTCTGTTATTAATTTCTAATTTAATTCTATTGTGGACAGAGACAATAATGGGCAGAGACTTTATATGACTTGAATTCTTTTGAATTTATTGAGACTTGTTTTATGGCCCAAAATATGGTCTGTCTTGGTAAATATTCCATGTACACTTGAAAAGAATGAGTATTCAGCTGTTTTTGAGTGGAGTGTTATATAAATGTCAATTAGGTCAAGTTGGTTGATAGTGCTTTTCAAGTCTATGATGTGCTTGCTTATTTTCTGCCTGCTTGTTTTACCAGTGATTGAGAGAGGAGTATTGAAATCTCTAACTGTAATTGTAGATTTGTGTATTTCTCCTTGCAGTTCTGTTTTTGCTATATATGTATTTGGAAACTCTGTTAGGTTCATATTGTTCTTTGGATGAATTTATCCCCAGAAATCTACTTTGGTATTAATACAGCCAATCCCACTTTCTTTTAACTAATGTTAGCACAGTATGTCTTT